CACGTGTCAGAGCAGGGAAGATGGCCACGGGTCATGCTCGTCACCCGAACGGAAGCAAAATTTTGCGAATGCTGCTGTTCGCGAACCGAATTGTTCGTGAACAGAAGCATTCATGAACTGAGGTATTACTGTACTTAGAAATGCAAATAGGTGTTTCAGTGTGTTATTATACCTTTCATGTATGAACTAGCTACGCGAACGGAAGCAAAATTTTGCGAATGCTGCTGTTCGCGAACCGAATTGTTCGTGAACAGAAGCATTCATGAACTGAGGTATTACTGTACTTAGAAATGCAAATAGGTGTTTCAGTGTGTTATTATACCTTTCATGTATGAACTAGCTACGTATTAAGTGTAGTCATTTAATACATTGAAAACCTCTTCAGCTTTGTTTTCTGTTGTTGGTTCATATACTCAAAAGTGATTAATCAAATTTCTTTAATAAGTTCAGACTGGCACATCTCCATGTAGTATTTTTGGCAGCAGTACACTGTTAGGTTTTGGGGGATCACCCATGGTCAGCTGGGTGTTGCCATCTGCAGGATTGATACAGCAAATGATTCCAGATTGTGTCTTGGATCATCATATAAAAACTCATGGTTAAATGTAGTTCTGCATATGACTAATGGCATCATTCTGCTTTCTTCTAGATAAAGAGAAGAAGGAAAAACTTGAGGAAGATGAAGCAGCAGCTGCAAGTACAATGGCAGTCTCTGCCTCCCTCATGCCTCCCATTTGGGATAAAACTATTCCTTATGATGGGGAGTCCTTTCATCTGGAGTATATGGATCTGGATGAATTCCTGTTAGAAAATGGAATCCCTTCCAGTCCTGCTCATCTGGATCTGAGTCAGAATCCTCTCCTGCCTGTGGCTGAATTGGAAGGAAAAGAACCTGCCACTGTTTCTGTTGCTGCCACTCCACCTGCATCATCTTCCACAGTGGTTTTCCAACTATCAGAAACTACCACGAGTGCAGGTTTGTCAAGGGGTCAAAGGAGGATGCTGTACAAAGTGGTTTGTTTAGTGGTGATAGGGTTTATTAGTGTCATTGCAGTGTTTCAAAATGAAAAATCAGAAAAGTAATTAAATGGTTAGAATGAGCAATTTGCCTTGTCATACAAAATAAAACCTGAATTTAGTAAGGAGTAGTTCAGTAATACACAGCCTAACAACAAACAATCACAGAGACAAGTTACGGGGAAGAAACTTCAGTAATATTTCAGTGGTCCACACTATAGTTAATTCTTTAAATATTATGTAAACAAGAGATGAACTAAAAACTACTGTTTGCTAGAAATGTGTTGTTTTAATTCTAATAAATAGTTGTAAAATGAAGACCTACTGTCAAATCTGCCTTGATCTATCAGTACTGACATGTGCTGCCTTATATACTGCTATATTAAAGGCATTTCTAAAAACTACTGTTTGCTAGAAATGTGTTGTTTTAATTCTAATAAATAGTTGTAAAATGAAGACCTACTGTCAAATCTGCCTTGATCTATCAGTACTGACATGTGCTGCCTTATATACTGCTATATTAAAGGCATTTATCACTGGGCTTCAGATCAGTGATGGAAGAGGACAGGGGTTTTTTTTTTTTTGCCAGTTTCCTTCTCTGCTTTCTTGTGATATGTTATTAAGGATGGAAACACTCAGTTTGCATTTCAGTGGAAATTACATTTATTGAAGTTATATGCAAGCTAGCTAGTATTTATAATTCACAATATACAGTTTTACTTTGCAGCATGCTATCAGAATATGCAGTCAGAAATGTACAGTGGTACCTCTAGTTACGAATGCCCCTCCTCACGAATTTTTCAAGATACGACCAGCTCCGGCCCCAAAATTTTGCCTCTACTTGCGAACTCCGCCTCTACTTATGAACCGGATCCGCGGCCATTTTCCCTGCTGCCACGCGGTCGCGGCTTCCTG